ATATGTGAACTGCTGTATGAAAAGTGAATTTACTCTGTAAATCTTCACCCAAATCCTAATAAAAAAAAAAAAAAAAGCGTGCTTTAAAATTTGAAAATAAAGAGAAAAACAAAACAAGACATCTCTTCACTTGTAATCCGTTCTTACAGTTAGCATTTTGGAAAAATTTCTCCTTTTTTAAAAAAATTTCTATAGCTTTATATTTTCTGTAACTCTGTATCATGCTTCTTTACTTAACATAACATCAAACATTTTTGATGCACAAAGTCCATATACCTGTAATTTTAAAGGCTGCACAGTATTCTATCCAGTAAATTTATAAAGATGATTTAACCACTGTTGAAATTGCATCTTTTTCCAAAACTTATATTTGCATATGATAGTCTATACCAGCACAATCTAAAAGAAATATAATGTAAGCCATATAATCTAAAATCTTCCAGTTGTCACATTTAAAAAAGTAAAAAGAAATAGGTGAACTTAATTTCAGTATCTTCTCTAACCCAATATAACTATTATTTCAACGTGTAATTAATATAAACATGATTAATATTATATATATACATATATTTCAAAACCCAGTGTATATTATATATTCATAGCACATCTCATTTCAGATCAGTCACATTTATCATTTATTTCAAGAATAATTAGCTACATGTGGTTGCTGTTTTGGATAGTACACATCTGTATTACTGATTTTATGAGAGAAATCAGAATTCTGTTTAAATGCTTTTCAAGATTATCAGTGTTATCCATTAAAATTTTGCGCTAATAAGAATAAGACATACTCATGATGCTAAAGTTTCATACATAATGGATCATACAGTAGGTTTCATACAGTATGTAGTTATGTAAACAAGGAATGGAGAGGGAACATGCAAAAGCTCAAAATTATGTGAGGATACTGGAGATAGAGGTGATTTTTTTTTACTTAAAAAATCCTTTATTATTATGACTTTTGAAGTAAAAGTTATCTGTCTGATGCCCCAATTGCTTCCTAACAAACCTTCAATTTGAGTACACTAAGGAAAAGGAAGACACACAGGCACACAAACACACACACACACAAAAAAGGTACAGATAACAAAAGATAAAACACTTTCACATACTGTGTTATCAGTGATAACAAAAATTAATCTGTGGGTAAATAGATGAGTAGAGAGGCTGAATGCTCAGATATGTCTAGGCAAAAGGGAATATGGCAGACAATATTTCTGCATACGTATTGATATGTGCTATAAGAATGTCCATATAAATAGAACTAATGGGGCAAAGTTATGATAACTTTTTAGGCACAGTCAGTTACCCTGATGGAGCAAGTTGTTGGACCTGTGGGCTCGAGACCATGCTCATGGGAGACATCAAGCTCAACTGGCATAACACACTACACATAAACACTGTTCTACATTTTACTTTGGTGAATAGTTACTGGGGTTTTAAAAGCTTACAAGCAGCCATCTAGATGCAACAAACTGTCTCTCCTCATCCAGAACAAAGAATGAAGAAAACCAAATATGCATGTAAATAATTAGTACAAGGGATTAGTCAACCATGTGAACCTCAGCCTATATGACCATGAGACCAAAAGAACTAGACGGTGCCTACCACTGTCAACCACTCAGAAAGGGATCAGTGCAGGAGATCCTGGATAGAGTGGGAGAACAATGTGGAACGAAACTCAAAATCATAAAAAAAAAAGACCAGGTTTACTGTTCTAATAGAGTCCGGTGAGCCCCCTAAGACTATGACCCCTAGTTGCATTTCAGGCCTGGCATTGAGCTCACTCCTGTGGCTTCCAGCCAAACAGTAGATAGGCTTATAGGGTGACCGTTTACACCAGATACATACATTCCTTAGAACAGTCAATCATGAAAGAACAGAAGGGCAGTATTTGCACATGGAGATAGCTCTGGGAGCAGGAATTCGTAGGAAAGGATACAGGGAAGAGGTTAACTATAGAGAGGAAGTGGGAAAAGAGCTGTTACACTCTAGGGATTGCAGTCAGTGTCATGAAACAGCTGTATGAAAAACGAATTTGCTCTGTAAGCTTTCACCCAAATCACAATTAAAAAACAAAAAACTTCAGTTTGAGAGATGGTGTCATAAATATGGTGTCACTCTCTCATTGGGCTCCAAAACTCTGTAGTACTATGAGACTTCTGCCTAAGCAGAGGTAGCCTTCTCTTACGAGAAGGAATCCTAGGGCTTTTGACCTTGCATCTTTCCTCAGAGGACCAGAGTGGCAGAGCCTCTCTACACTGGCTAAACCCACAACTTAAAGGGCTGGGGCCTACAAGACAGCCATTTTGAATGACTTCATGGGGTTCAGTTTCCATACATACAATGTGAATGGTGTCCCTACAAGTTGTACAAGGTAGCAGTCCTAGAAGGACGTACTAGTAACTCTCTCCCCAAATTAAGATAGTCACTGGGGGCTCAGATAAGCAAAACAATGATTCTGACAACCCTGGAGAGCTGTATGGACTGAGTGGCAATTATCTGGGGAAGGTGTTTGCAAAACATCTTCCCATGCTTGTTACTGTTGTTGTTGTTAGGTGCTGTCGTTTCTGACTCATAGCTACCCCATGCACAGCAGAATGAAACACTGACCGATTCCGTGCCAGCTCCACGATCCCTGCTATTTTTTTTTTTTTTTTTCATTTTCAACACTTTTTTTCTTTTATTTATTGTGATTTGGGTGACGATTTACAGAGCAAATTCACTTTCCATACAGCAGTTCACATAT